TGGATTGTACAATATATGCAAAGTTACATATAATAAATTACTATAATTTCAATATTGGTCAAATGCAACATCCCATGAATATATATTATCCTAACATCAGACTACAGCTGGATTTCACAACAACAAACTCCAATTCAACTAATTAAACATTGTCAGCAGAAACACCACAAAACCGCAATAATCACTACAACAAATAGTACTATATTTAAACAGTGGCTTTAGAAACACCACAATAATCACTACAACAAATAGTACTATATTTGAACATTGGCTTCAGAAACACCACAGTAATCACTACAACAAATAGTACTATATTTACACAGTGGCTTCAGAAACACAACAGTAATCACTACAACAAATAGTACTATATTTACACACTGGCGTCAGAAACACCACAGTAATCACTACAACAAATAGTACTATATGTGCACACTGGCTTCAGAAACAGCACACAATTGCATCTATTGTGATATACCTACACTCGATTGTGGCTCAAAACAATCGTATCACAACAACATCTTAATTCAATAGAAATAATATACAATTATTCGGAATGCTTGCCCCTCAAAACGATTGCTCAATTACAATATACTGTCATACAAATACAAATCATAGGGACGCAATATAATTACAAATATGTACTCAAACACTTTAGTTCAGTTTGTGAACACAGTCAGTTCCATAAGAAATATCTTCGGCTACGGTAACGTGGAAATGCACTAATGCTGGAACGGCGACGTAGAAACACGTACTCGAGACGGAGACGATGACGTCCACGCACGTTGGAATTCTCTGCCATAGGGTTGAGGTAATCAGTCGGCGATATTCTCGCACCTTTCTGTTCTTTGGCTGTACGGTTGCAGTAGTCAGTCGACGAACATGCACTTAAATTAATTGCTGAACTCAGCGGAGAGTAGCAGACTTTCAATCTTGAAAGCGTACGACCAGACGTAACAGCGTCGAAACCCATACAGTTAACCGGGACCCAATTGTCACCCAATCACGCCACGTGATGACACCAGAACCTTGGCACACCTGCTGACCACGCGAAATAGTGTAATGAATGACCACGAGTTCAAGTCTTACGAACCTTTTATAGACAACGCATGGGCATCTCCCTAGCTCAATCGCAAAAGCGTTCGTCTTCACAAAAACACAGCCAAAGAATACTAAACAAAACACAGAAATACGTAACAACCTGCATACAGTGTAAATTTGTTCATATCATGTTAAAATCATAAATATATTTAACGTCAAGTATTTAACGTCAGTTGTCAAGCAGGTCTTTCAGTTTTTAACCACTCTGTTTCAAAAGTGATCAGGGTGACGAAATCTGAAAGCATTTAAAGCAGTTATAATAGTGAGTTCGCAACTTGATAGTAGTTGTTGATAGAGGGTAAACAAGAAATTGTGTGTAATTGAACTTTCATGTATGGACCACTCTACGCTAAGAAACAAAAATTAAAAAAAAAGTTGACATAATTTGCATTTTCTTTAGGACCAACTGTTGTTTGGGAAAGGTAGTTTTACGACCAGAGACATAATTTTTCAATAGTGCGCCCTCACACAATTTTTTAAAATTTAGAATTCGTTTTAACCTAGAATGTTTTAATTTTTTTTCTTGAGATGGCATGTCATTTCAATGTTTGTTTAGTCTTACGGAGGAAGGCAGAAGTTTTGAGTGACGTATCACTTCGAAGTTAACAGCGGACATTTGATATTTTGAATACAGAATACAATCTTTGTAGTACGGTGATGTGGGAGAAATATATTCCTATATTTACACAAGTAGCTTTGTTGAGATTTAAAAAACAATTACTGCAATATGCAAATAACGCAGTTAGTTGAGGAAATACGACTCAGCAGGGCCGACCGTTTATCTGAATGATATTTGTCAATAAGATTCATTAAAGACTATTGACACATGTCACCATCTTTAATTCTCTATCGCAGACAAATAACACTTAATATGTAAATAATATACCTTTTAAAAATAGATCACAAACGTTTCTCCGACAACGCTTCATGAGCAGTGTAAATACATTTAGTTGCGTGTTGCCTACTGTGCTCAAAGGAGCTCTGGCAGGATATTTTCACTTTACTTTCTTATGTAAAAAGTATTTTATGTGGTGTGGTGTGCTCAGTTCAGTGTGACTCGAGCCCCCTGCAGTACTGTGTCATTATGTTAGATCAGTATTTTATTGTCTGAATGATTAAATTGAACATTTCATTTGTTGTATAATTTACTAAACTGTGACATATGCACCACTCATTCCATGTACGCATAATTTGTATGCATACAGTCATCCACGATGCTTTATGTATGTGCATGTCCATTGTGCCTTTTTGAGTTGAAATTGCTTTTGCTTGGAACTACTACATTTGCTGTGCAGTTGTACATACCAGATACAATTTGACAAACACGCCCCGGTTGTACAAATTTATCACGTAGTAATACTCCTAAACCATCCAATGTGTGGCCGCAAGCTTTTTGATAATGTTCTAATGTAGAATGCATCCAACCAGCACGCCGTATCATTTAATGTCCTCTATAGTACACAACACATCCTGCAATACTTATGTGTGATATCGAATTCATTTGCATGTACATGGTTTGTCGTATATAAACTCATGGCAAATACATTAACACTAGTATTAATATATGTTGTTCAATATATTTTATAAGTTATTACACCTGTTATAATGCAATTCGTATGTGCCCAATTAATTTGCATATCTGTGAATATTCATGCAATAAATTTACTGTTATGATAAACGTTTGCAGCATGCTACTATTTATAGCAGGATATAATATGCATGCGCTTATTTATATTTATATTTATAAAAAAGGAAAGTACGGGCTCGCTTGCATATTGTTCAATGTGTTCTGCTCGATTTATGTGATATCGAAGTGTCCATATTATTCAATGTGTACAACTAACACCATATTCCTGTATGGACTGTATATATGGTACATATACACATATGGTTATTGAGGTAAGAATATTGTAATATATTCCACAAATCCCCACGCATCATGGGGATACTAGGATTTCGAGGGTCATATGCATATACAATCCTTTCATATCATACTGAGCGGTAGAAATATTGGTAATAATGTAAAGGCATTTGAAAGACTGTTTGAATTTCGAATAATACTTTTCAGTTTTTATTTTTTTAAATATTGTTTGTCCCAGTGAATACAATGCATGTTGAAGCAGAAATTAAATTCTATAATTAGGACTGCATGGCAAGCCGTGTAGTAATAAATGGACTGTGTGGCACATTCATATAGATTTATATTTTGTGTACGTATCTGTTACTTTCAACAACAATAATGTAACAATTATTTTTGCAGCCCAAAACGCAAAACTGAAAAAACAATAATCAAGATGACATCATTCAAGCGATGTTTGTGATGATGGTCATCACGACATGTGGGTTCATCAGTACAATACTTCTTTACGACCAAACTCTTTATGATGTAATACACCTATACTTTTGTTAACAATAATAGTAGTACGAAAAGTGAAAATAAAACAATCAACATGATAAAAAAACACTGGCAGAATCTGGTTGTATGACATGTTTGTATCTAAGCTACAATTCAAACAAATGTGACGATCCTGTGACAATTATTTTTTTTCTCAAAATATTGTGACATAACATATGAGCTGAATTCGTTAATCCACAGCGAAAAAGGAACTAGCCTCAGGTCACAGTTGAAAGTGATCACCATATGGACTTATACAAGGGTGGTCAAAATACTTACTCTGATGCTTTGATCCTGGCAATATAATTCTGCACACGTAACATTAAGTGACTATTATTGGTGTCAGCTACTATAGAGACATGACCAGTTTCCAAGATTAATATTTTCATGATAAAATCGTGTGTTCAATATTTTATTACAATGCGAAAAACAAAACATGCACTGAATCTAAGTTTTCAGGAGATGCAAGTCTTGTAATAGTAGCATGCTATGTCTCACTTAGAGAAACACTTGTCTGAATCACTTGACTTCACTGTTGCTATCTTGGTGATATAACATTAAATATTGTGTGCACGTGCTGTTAATGATCAAATGTGATGGAGGTATAATCATATGTAGGTGGTGCCTATGACAATCTTTTGACAAAAATATTTCGCGCTAGTCTTTAGTGAAGCTAATTACTGAACTGAGAGAAATATTATTTAAACAATTCCCATTCATTCTACTACGGGATGATTCTCACGATTTTCCGGGATATGTCCCCAGGACAGAATACGTCACGCTAGAGCTAAAAATAAGGATAATCAAAGGTTAAAACATATTTAAATTGGTTGACTGACAATGCGCATTACTGATGTTACTGGTTGAACAACTAAGTTAGTGAATCAACAGATGGAGACCCTGAAAATGCAGAGTTGTTTGCTTTTTTTGCGTCTAAACGTAATATGTTCCATACTTTCAAAACTCGTCAATTACAAGATAATTGTATGGTTACTATTGTGCCGGTGGCTCATGAAAATCGTAAATGATATGCTGAAAGAACATAATACATATATATATTTGACTAAATTAGATGCAGGAGTATTCACGGAATTATTGTAAATAGTATCAATCTGTTTACCTACGTATCGTATCGATGACTGTGAAATAATGGATAACCAATTAGGGCATATGAGTCTAAGAGCTAACTGAATCTCGCCATTCCTGCTCTCGTTTTCAACGAAAACAGTGATCAACAATTTGAATTGGCTTAACAGATTGGCAACTGACAATAAAACATAAACATATCAACAGTATATCAAGGACTTAGCGATTAAGCACCGAGTACAAAAACAGTACGTAATCACTGTTCTTAGAAATGAGTATAGAAAATATCGACACTACCAACAATTTGAGGGATCACTGAAATTAAGAAAAATGTAGTAACGTAGATCTAAATGAATACCTAAAAATGTTGTTATGTTTTTTCGCAGATAACAAAGAATCACTCACGCTCAGTTTTTGAATGATGGCGATAGGAGGACGTCAACACACGGTTTCGTCATTTGATACAGAAAATGAGAATACGGAATGCCCCTCACAAATAATACAGAAGAAACACCCATCATACTTGTGCACGCACAGTGGAATGTTACTCGCATTTACTGCCAGCGGTTTATTCTCTATGAGTTACGTATGTGCCAAGCTAGTTACCACAGTTCATCCCTTCGAGGTGCCGTTAATCCGCTTTACATTTGCATTGGCGTATGTTATCCCGTTGATGCTATACAAGAACGTAGACTTTTGCGAATTCAGAGACATTCAATACATATGGTTTATTTTATCATGTGTATCGATTAGTGCTGGGTTTGTGTGTTCATTTATTGCCATTAGTATGATACCTGTTGGGAATGTTGTTGTCCTTAACTCTATTCGCCCCATTACCACAGCGTTTATGAGCTGTTGTTGTTTATCAGAATCTGTCACATGGCTTGACTTTGTACTGGGATTTGTCAGCATATTAGGCATCGCTGCAATAACAAAACCAGAGTTTATATTTGGTAATTTATTGTATAATGAGTCCAGAACTAGTGGACATTATGTACTCGGTAATTGTACGGCCATTGCAGTCGCATTGTTTTCGTCACTGGCATTCGTTTCTATGCGAAAATTGGGAAAGAAAGTTAATGTATTAACAATTATATTTTACTCCTCTTTGTGCGGTGTTGTTATCACCTCAATTCCTTTGTACATTATGAACAGATTTTCACTACCATCATCGCTCATTGAGTTGCAATACGTGGTTGTTACCGTTCTCTGTAGTCTTCTGGCACAATTGGTATTCCTGAAATCTCTGCAAAATGAGAAGGCTACTGTTGTAGCGATTATACGAACAATGGACATTGTATTTTCGTGCATTTTAGAATATATATGTTTAGGACATCAACCTGATTGGACTGATATTGGGGGCGCTGTGCTTATTATAATATCGTCTATTGGTGTTATGATACAAAAAATGTACGTTGGAAAACCACATTGATTGTCATGCTCGTCAGTTTTACAGGAAACTCGACCATTTTCAACCACAAGCATAATTATTCATTATAGATGAACAGACACGGCAACAAAACAACTTTAGTTGTATGTAAAAGAGAGTGAGATATTTCTGTGAAATTAACCATGTTAAATTAAAATTAATTTGCTTACAATGGTTTACTTTCTTAATGCAATTATTTTGTCATCCATGTGTGACCGACCAGCTAGATGTCATCCGATATATCATGACTTCCAAAGTGTTTTTTTATATCGTATATAGGCAGTTAGTAAGATGATGTTTGGAATATTTGCGAAATGATGTGAGAGTGGTGTTGCAAGTCGCTGTAGGTAGTGTACCAAAATGTTCTGTTTTTATACAAGTACTGCTGCATCCAAACAATGCTCATCAACTAACTTGTATAGTAGATAAAAAAATTATTACGTTATTTATAAAACTTCCTTCGCAGAAAATTACTATTTTTGTTGAGATATGCCGTATATTAGTATATTGCCGTTTTTGGTGTTTGTGCTCATTGAAGTAAGTAACAAATAAAAATGTTCAGGGAATATATAAATACATGAAGCAATAATCGTCAATTCTAAAAGCTGAAACAATGTTTATTTCAGACGCAGAGCTGAATGTACCCCATTGAAAGTAACATTGTATGTAAACCATATATTATCATAGATTAATTAGATAGAGGTGTATTGTTCCACGTTAAAGATAGTAGCCTGAAGAATGTTATGCACGTAGAGCTTCAAAAATACCAATCTGTCAGCAGTGATTGGTATGATAGCTTCATCTTTTCTATTTATGAGAGTTCTAAAGAAGAAGAAAGATAAAATGCCTTTGAGATTAGATATATTTTCTTTTTTTAAAATGACCACTTATATCAAATACATATATACAAAGTCAAGCAAAATGTTCGTATGCGTAAGCATTTCAAACAATTGTTTTACTTGTTTCATTGGACCGTGAAATTTCCCGGATGTTACTATTCTAAACCTTCATGTGAAAGTGAAAACATGTATGCATATTGGAATATGACAATACTGTAAAACATATTTTAATAAAAGAACAGCATTTTGATAAGAAAAATGAAAACGTTAGATAAAAACGTGTAAACGCACTTTACAGTCATCGTCGTAGCGCCACTTATGCGAATCTCATATGGGCAAAAATGGCGATTTTATATGTTGCGCAAATTAACGTGTACAATCTGAGAGGTTACCAAAATTTAATTTTATTGGTGATTAGAAAACCGTATAGAACTGTGAGAAAATCCATGTTTATCAAATGCTATGAATGTGCAGCACGATGACAACCGCCCTTTAAATGAATATGACAATATAGAAAAACATATTTATTAAAGAAACTGCATTTTGGTAAAGGTGACGTAAGACTATAATGTGTTAACTTGGGTGCCAGTATTGTGTTTGTGAAAATTAAATTACTTGACAGTTGACACTGATGGTGTGTATTTGTTCTGTGTAATATATTGTGAACAAAATGTTGGCTGATAACAGGTTCAACCAAAAAGACGTGTTCGTTAGTTCATCACAGATAGTCAAGTTTTATTCATTCGAACGCTCACCTGAGATAAATCCACGCTGTCTTATACTCTTATTCGCTCTTTCTCTTTACAAATTCTACAATAAAACCAATCAGCCAACCGCTGCTGTCATTGACACAATCACGTGATTACCAGGAATATGTCTTCCGATTAATGAATTGAGAAATTCCCACTACAGAATAAATTAGTGTATAAAATGCTTAACCGTGAGACACATCGCTGCACTGTCCCACAGTAGTTGAATATAGCAGTGATGCTAGTGCTCTTGTCCACACGGTTATGAAGATAACACCGATCCAAAAGAAATGTATTGCAGTGTCATAAACAATAAAGCGGTTGCTCTCTGTTGTGGTAACAATAGGTTGATATTAATTGCCTCATATCATAATGTATTTCTGAAATCACATTAACTGCAAAAAAAATTCTAGATTATTATGGCAATACAATATACAAATATTAGATTCAGTTCTAAGAATCATTCGGACAGTCAGATTGAATGATGGCTTGCAAATTTGCTTAACACTACTCGAGAAATTGTTTGTCTCTTATACAAGTCATATATAGAGTACCAGCAACTCCTACCGCCCTCATCTAGAAGTGTAGTAGAATCTGAGTATGATGAAGAAGTTAAGAGAAAGGAACATTTGATAAAAGATTTCATGATTACATGTTTCTAAGTGTGGATGGTGGAGCTTATGGTTTTCCACAATACACTAAGGTGCCAATGGTGCAAGCTGGCGAACCCACTAAAGTTCTTCCTTTCATGGTCTCTCAACATTTACATTCCCTCAAGAGAAATCTGAGTGAAATTGGTGAATTAATGGGAAGCAAGGCTGGTATTCAAGTGATTGGTAGTCGCGAGTGCTCAAAGGAAAGAAACAAATCAAGTACTTACAAGTTTAGTTCAGCATCCAGAAAAGCAAAACTGAAACTTGCGAAAGCTCAGTGTGATTTGGAACTTTAACAAAAGGAACAACAAATTAAAGTTCAACAGCAGAAAAACGAGGCTGCGCTGACAAATATTTGAAGCCCAAAGAAAGGTATATGAGGCAGCATTTGTAGTGCGGAATATTGAAGGAGATTCAAATGCAATTTCAGATGTCCTTTCTGCTTTACAACAACAAACTAAATCAGAGGCAATTGATAAATATTTCCAGTCATGCAAAGAATATGTACAACCGGTAGCACTTGAAAAACATGTTAAAGCAGCAAGAAAAGTTACTTTTTCACGCTTCTGTCAATGTGCAACATAAGTCTTCGCAAGAACATTTATCCAATGTCGGAGAAATTGCTTCACAAAATGATTCATATAGTACTCCAGTTGATAAAGGTACAATCCATTCACAAGTCAGATGCAACAAATAGAGCGCATGATGCAGCATTCGTGTGAAACTATGAAAGTAGTAACAATTAATTTGAGCATGCCCAAATACGTGCAAAAATAATCGTCAATTCTAAAAGCTGAACAATGTTTTCGTACCAGACGCAGAGCTGAATGTACCCCATTGAAAGTTACATTGCATGTAATCCATATATTGTCATATATTAATTAGATACAGGTACATTGTTACACGTTAGTACCAATCTGTCAGCAGTCATTGGTATAGTAGCGAACAAAGGAACACCATCTTCTCTATTTATGAGAGTTTGTAAATGCTTGTATATATCTAAAGAAGAAGAAAGATACCATGCCAAAATGTCACATCCCACAGAGAATAGATGGATTTTCTTTTATTAAAACGACCACTTAACATCACTGGTTAGCAAAGTTATGTATATTGTTCGTATGCGTAAGCATCTCAAACAATCGTTCTCTGTGTGGGCAATACATGTTTAATTGGACCGCGAAATTCCCCGGATGTTACTATTCTAAACCTGCGCGTGAAAGTGAAAACGTGTATGCATATTGAAATATGGAACAATTCGGCAAAATATATTTTAATAAAAAGAACAGCATTTTCATAAAAAATTAAGAAGTTAGATAAAAACGTGTAAACGCACTTAAACAGCAGTCAGCAGAGATTGGGATCTCATATGGGCAAAAAATGGCGACTTTGACTGAAGCGCAGACTAACGTGTACAAAATGAAATTTCATTTTATTGGTGATTAGAAGAGCGCATAAAACTGTGAGAAAATCCATATACAAATACAAATGCTACAAATGCGCAGCACGAAGACAACCGTTCTTTAAATAAATATGACAATGCAGAACAAATATTAAAGAAACTGCACTTTGGCAAAGATGATATAAGACAAAAACGTGTTAACTTGGGTAGCAGTATTGTGTTTGTGAAAATTGTTTGTTCTAGACACCATTTGACAACTGGATAATAGTTGACACTGAACGTGTATATTTGTTCTGTGTGATATTTTGTGAACTAAGTGTGTTAACAGGTTCAACTCAAAACACGTGTTCATTAGTCCATGACAGATAGTCCAGGTTTATTCATTCAAACGCTCAGCTGAGGTAAACCCTCGCTGTCTCTTACTCTTCTTCTCTTTTTTGCAAACTCTACAATAAAACCAATTAGCGAATCGGTGCTTTCACTGACACGATCACGTGATTAATGCATTGCGAAATTACCACTACATAATACACTTAGTGTATAAAATGCTTTAACCTTGAGACTCATTGCTGCAATATCTCACAGTAGTTGAATATAGCAGTGATGATAGTGCTCGAGACGATTATGGAGATAATACCGATCCCAAAGAAATGTATTGCAGTGTCATAAACAAAAAAGTGGTTGCACATTCTTGATAATTATTGCCTCATAATATCATAATATATATAAAAAATTGACTGATATATTATTATGTCAATACAATATACAAGTATTAGATTCAGTTCTGCGAATCAATCGGACAGTCAGATTGAAATATGGCTTGAAAATTTGCTTTACACTATTTTTATCCTATCATGATGTCAGCATCCTTTATTTCATGTTTTTGTCATATTACTTCAAACCCTGCAAATGAAAATATGCATGGAATCATGGGAAGAAACGGTGTGCATTGTGATAACTGTCATAAAGGTGATTGACATGTCATACTTGTTTTCAACTCTGGAAGGACAGTGGGTTCTACCAGGTGTGCTTGTAATTTACATGCCAAAGGGTGTTTACAACTTTGGAAAGAGAATTGGAATCTACCAGGTGTGCTGTTATTTGCATAATAAAGGATCTTTATGATCCACTGAGTTGCCTACATGACACAGCTGCTAGCAAGATCACATTCTGATTGGTGTCCCTGAATCTGGGCCATTTACGCCTATAAATATAGACTGGGGACAGTTTGGGTCCATAATTTCAAGTTAGTATCCTGTGCGTTGCTGCTACGATATTGAGACAAGTGATGCATCATTCTGTAAGACTAGTATGAACTGCTCTGGATTTCCTGCTTTCAGCGATGCCCTCCAGAATACCAGCATTCCTCTGCAAGCAAGACACCTGTAATTCTTCGTTGTTGTGTTGCAGAAGCCATTGACTGTCATCCATGTTTACATCCTGGAACTGTGAGTTATCACCAATGCACACTTCCCTAGGCAATCCCCTATTTTAGTGAATTTATTAATTGTATTTTTCTGTGCTTTGTTTTGTGTAACTATTTTGAGAGGTATTAAAGCTAGGAGCTATGACTTGATATTTTGGTGTCTGTGTATTTCATTTCCAGTACTACTGTATTGTCTACCCCATACTAGCGGTATCATTTGCGATAAGCAGGCCTTGCACTGTGACAGTAACAATACCAAACAATTATATGTTCTTATTTCATATTACATCGTAAGTGAAATATCACCTATTATTTTCTGGCAGGACAAGGCTTTTTTACTGTCAGAAACAATGTTCATATATATAGTCTTGTAGGCATGATCATGTACTAACCTGAGGTTCACCCTCGTTCTTAACTATGGTGCAAAATATACATGAACATGTATAATACCTAATTTTATATTTGAAAAAAGTCATTTTGAGCTTGCTTAGTTGTCATGTGTTTGTCTTTGACTTGCCTTTTTGCAGCGACACTGGTAGTTTGTTTCGGACAATACCTGACACTGAATATGTTTATTCATTCTATGTGATGCATTGCTCTTTTCATATGCCACAACTCCACCTTTAGCATTATGAAATATTGCAGCTTGAAAAAATTCAGGTGTTATAGCTCTGCATTAACCACCCCTTGATTTACAACACATATATCACTGATCGAAACAGTTTAAACAGTTCTGGTAGTGATTTTGTATTAAGAATTATTGGCACTGGCTTCAGAAGTGGCATTTCATAACCCAAAAAGCCCAACGACCATGTCGCATCCTGATGTATAAAATAAATAAATATTATCTTCATTTTTAATGCAACAAATTTAATTATTTTTTTCATACACTGTTAATTATTTTTCCTAAGCCATTTGCAAACTGTCACAGTGTATGTCCTGCTTATTGATGTTGAGCGGTACACCCACGGAACTCACACGGGACAATTTTTTTTTCACTACTAGCATGGGGTAGATAAGGCAATAGTACTGGAAATTAAACACATACACACCAAAATATCTAAGTTAAAGGTCCTGGCTTTACTATTATTCAAATTAACAAAACACAGAATAATACAATGCAGAAATTCACTAAAATAGGTGATTGTCTAGGGAACTGTGCATTGGTGATAACTCACAGTCCGAGAATGTAGAGGGCCGCTGTTATTCTGGAGTGCACCGCTGATAGCAGAAGATTGCAGAGGAGTTCATACAAGCCTCACAGAATGATGACTAAAACCTGTATCTCTTGTCTCACAATTTAGCAGCAGCAACACAGAGTACTCAATTGAAATGGTGGTCCCCAACTGTCCTCAATCTAGCCTATTAAAGGGAATACATGGCCCAGGTTCAGGTACATCACATGGGCTTCCACAGGAGCCAATCCAAATGTGCTAGTAATAGCAGCTATCTCACGATGACATGCAGACACTCACGACAAGTTAGTAGATTGCCAATTGCCTCTAATGTGTCATACGTAATTCACATTAAATTTAATGAGTGGAAACTAATATGTAAACGAAATCTTACCGGGCTTCTTGTATATGGCGT